CCACTCATGTATAGCCAGCTAGCTACAGCTAGGTAGTTGACTGTACAATGATGGAAATTAAACTATTTTCAATCAACTTAAAAAAAGAAGCAGGCTTTCAACTGTACGACTAAACGACTGTATTTTTTGTGTGTGTATATTGTGCGATTACTCCGACATTTATTTTGATTTTGTTGATTATTTTTTTGATAGAAAGGAAGTACTTCAAGAAGTACCTCATTAATAGTTCCATTCAAATTTGAAGAAATTATTCCACCTCGAAGGGTGACAAATTAGGGAATCAATTCGGTTTATAGGATTTCAGTGAAACTTGGCAATTATTCCAGTAATTCCACAAACTTTTAAGATCAGTTTTATTGAAATGAAAATCTTATAATTATTTCAGAACTAAATTTTATAAATCTAAGTTTACTAACAGTAGCAACAGAACATAGGAATATAGAAAAAACTTAAACTATCTTAAGAATTATTTCTTTAAATAGTAACTTAATTTTTATTGTATTTTTGTATACACACCATTTAGCCTAACTTATAGTATATTTAGAAATACACCCACATGTACTGTTATATAAAAACTTATAATTCAAATTAATAAGCCTTATAATTCAAAACACCTAACAGTCACAAAAGACAAATCTTACCACCCTGTATAAAAGTTGTTTGTGTATTTATTATTGGTTTATACATTGACTTACAAGTCAATGGGTTTATACTATTTTTTGTGTCGAATATTCCATGAACGGGGCCAATACACAGTGACTTCACAGAGCTTGTCAGCTATCAATACGTAGCAATAGATTGTTTGTCAGGCTAGTGGTGCGTTAATACGTAATGTATCTGCATGTGTCTGTTTTTTCTAAAATACTTTTGGGGTGTTGTCTGTGATAGTTGTCACGGATATACATACATATTATTATGTTACCTACAATAATATTTAATATGTTTTCTATTTAATTTAATTGTGTAGATGACGACTTCACAATGTGGACGGAATGAACAAGATCGTGCGCCTGATGGTAAACTACACGCCTGTCCGTAACAGTTACAGTGCATTCAAAGCTTTAAATTGCAAAGATCTGAAGGGCACTTCCACTGTGACCGTCACCCTGAGACATAAGTTGACAAGTCCCATATGCCTGTAATTTCACCAGCACCACCAGGAACACATTAATGCTGACATTACTGCTTGGCGGCAGAAATAGGTAAGTAAGTAACTACCTCGGAAGAACTCTTTCACAAGGAGCTCTACAGCTATTAAACTTTTTTTATATGTGACAGGCAGATGATCCCGCTCCACTTGCTAATGAAATATCACATAACAATCGAAAGAAATTGATTTGAATGTAGTAAAAAATTAAAATAAACTCTATGATTTTTCAGTTTCAGTTAACCGTGACCATGGGACATATAAAGGGCCCGACGTCGGTTTGTTTGAAAAAACTAATTATACGTGATTTAAATCCGGAAAAACGGTTTCATTTCCTATGTGTAACAATCGCGAAAACCTAAGAACTCGATATCTATAATTTTTTTCGAACTAAACTGGTACCTTTACTACTAGCGGTATCTTCTGTTTTCATTATCAATTTAAAGAATACGTTAAATTCGAATTTGGTGAAATTACAGGCAAATGGGACTTGTCAACTTAATAATGTCTCATTTTTAATAATGCATTTAAATTTGTACCACTGGCAAACTATGTCTCAACTAAACTAAACTATTACACACTTTTGTTAAATAAAAATCTTACTTGTAAGCTACGGGGCAATCCCATAGAAAAACGGCGCATCCTTTGTCAATCAAATCGTGCTTCCTAAACATGGACTTCTTGGGATAATACCTTACCAAACTCGGCCTACGGTGTTTTGGGTGTATGTACATTTCTGCCAAGGCTGTCGATACAATAACTGAAATAAAAAAGTAATCGACTAATTTCGGTCATAAAATCTTATACCTCTCTCTCTTGAATAGTTCTCATTTTGCAGATGTGTCTTTATACTCCAGTGTATGACGGGTCCATTCGTTATGCCCCCAGTTTCATTCGCCCCCGTTTTGTTTACACCTGACTTAGGTTAGTTAGAACATAGGTTTTAATTCAATGTAGTAGACACAAAAATTCTTCTACTAAAATAATAAAATTTTGATAGGTAACCTCTATGAAAATAACTTGAAATAACATGAACTTAATACAAAAAAAGTGTTTGTTGCACTTGATGAAATAGGTACAATTCACAATTTTTAACTTTGGCGTTGCATTGCACTAACATTTGGAAACGGGAATAAACGCGTTTACATATGAAAGGTATTTTTCACACCTACCTAGTTTCCCGCCATTTCTCGCCGTTGTCACGGGCTGACTCACATCAGTCAGTAAACGCGTTTATTCCCGTTTCCAAAAGTTAGTACACTCCACAATTATTGTAATAATTTATTCATAATTTCGTTGCACCGGAACCGGTTTTAGTTTAAGTGAAGTCTACACGGCAAACTAATACAAAAGAGCAAACTAGCCTTCGTAGTGGCCTTGCAGTGCTCATTTTGGCTAATATTAAATATTACCCATACCTTACCTATTTCTGCCGCCAAGCAGCAATGTGAGAATTACTGCGTTCCGGTTTTGAAAGGTAAGAGTGTTGCTGGTAAAATTACAGGAACATGAGACTTGTCAACTTAAGTGTCAGAGTGACGGGCGCAGTCGCAAGCTGCTCAGAGCTTTATATCTTTGCGATTCAAAGCTCCGATCGGCTCTGCAACTGTTATGGACAACAATTATCGCTTACCACCATGCGCATGAGTTATTTCACGTTCACTTGATATCATTCCTCTGGTTTGCCACCCTTAGAGATGGAATATTTTCTTAAAATTTAAAACATTCACCAACGAGTTATCGCGTAACATACATGCAAAATAACATACAGTCGAATTGAGAACCTTTTTAAGTCGGTTAAAAAAAGAACTCCGTAGCCGCAAGCACAGTCCGAAAAAATATAAAACTTAAAGTGGATACTCACGAATAAGGACAATAATGTTTCGCTGTACCATAGTCTGTTGTATCAACAATATTTCAGTGAACACTAGAGACCGATATTTTACAATCATAAAATCAAAGATTTAATTAAAATACTAGCCTTTCCAGAAAGATTTTATAACCATTACCTACTTTACCATTTAATTTTTATGCATTCTTATCACGTGAATGTATTATTATTGTACGTAATCGTATTACATGTAACCTTAGCTACACAGAATTCTGAATTATATCATTATTACCATTGACTTACAAATAAATGGACGACGGGTCTAATACAAAAACCACGAAAAAAATGTCCCAAGTCTACCTATTTAAACGTAGTGACATGTAAAGGAATATGAAAAAGCTAAAACGTTGAATTTAAATTGTAATGTCATCGCAGTACTGTCTAATTTTGCTTGCTTCGCTGTCAGTCGAACAAACGAAGACTAAAGCGTGAATGACGCTCTGTATACGATTTTAACGCCCTATAAGTTCGGACACTTTTTAGCGCGGACCTAACGTCCATATAATTGTAAGTCAATGATTATTACATACAATTTGATTGCAACTTTCAGTAGCAATAGAGCTCCTTGTGAAAGAGTTCATCCAGGATAGTACTGCCACCTTACCTATTTCTGCCGCCAAACAGTAATGTCAGCGTTACTGCGTTCCGGTTGTGAAGGATAATGGTGCTGGTGAAATTACAGACACATGGGACTTGTCAATTTACGTCTCATGGTGACGGGCGTAGTGGCAGTGCCCCTCAGATCTTTGCGATTCAAAGCTCTGAGGGGCACTGCAACTGTTATGGATAGGCGTGTAACTTACCATGAGGCGCAAAACTTGATCGTCCCGTCACTTGATATTTTTACAAAAAAAAAAGAAAAACAACTATTACAAATATGTACATAGAATTGTTTTTATAATATCAAGTGATGGGACGAACAAGTCGTGCGCCTAGTGGTAAGTGACACGCCTATCCATGTCAGGTGTAGTGTCGTTCAATGATTTATGCGCAAGGCACATCGCGAACTAAGCTAACCGAGCTAACTAAACTAACCCAACGATCCCGCCAGCTATGTAAAATATGTCGCCCTTCTGCCACACTTCACCCCGGCACGTATCCATAGTCACTACTTACTACGTTTTTTCTTAGCTTAGCTTTGCAAGTAACTACGTGAACTAAACCAAGCTAAGTTAGCTTAGCTGGCATAGTTTTCACTGCTGCAGGTGATCGTAGCGAGGGCTCAGTTCACCATTAAGTTTGGCAGCCGCAAGGAGGTCGACGGGGCGGTGTGGCTCGCTGCGTCGTGAGGAGGGGAGGGGGACGACGTAGGTCCAACTAGGTGCTGAGGGGGTGCGCACCCGAGAAGGCCAACGTGGGGTTTTAGCCGGTCTCAGCTGCCCTCGCGGCGGAGAGGTATCCAAGGAGGATTTCCCCACAAAAAAAAGCTGACAAAGTTGGTTGTATGCAACTACGTGAGTTAAGGTAAGTTAACTAGCTTCGTTCGCGGTGTGCATGGCCTGCCCTTTGATTTACAAAGATCTGAATGCTATTACCACTGCGCCCGTCACCCTGAGACGTAAATTGACAAGTCCTATGTACCTGTAATTTCACCAGCACCCTTTAAAACTGGAAGGCAGTAATGTTCATATGAACATTACTAATAATAATAATATTACTGCTTCGCGGCAGAAATAGGTAAGGTTGCAGTATTTGGACGGACATTTTCACAAGCAGCTCTATTAGTAATAAGTGATATGATTATAATGACAAACGCATAGGTACACAAACCGGACTAAAGTGTAGTGTGTTCATCTTTTTCGTTATCAGTAGAAAATGAACAGAATATATCATTTCAGTTCAGACAAATTAAGTTAGATTCACACCTGACGGAACGCGTTGGAGCTCATCGGGGCGCGTAGACAAGGGCAGCGAAGAGAATCCGCGCGTATTTGTATCACGAGGAAGTATAAGAAACTTTCAAAATACTCTCCCTGACACATAATTTGAGTCCCCTTGCATTTTCAGTATTAAATGTCCTCATCACCAACCCATTAATGGGCCTCAGGCGAGGGGGGTTTAGGCCATAGTCCGCCGCGTTTGTCCAACACGGCCTGGGGCCTTCACACTTTTCCATGGGTTATTAACCTTCTTCGACGGCAGATTTAATCACGATGTTTTCCTTCACCAAAAAGCTCAAATTTCAAATTAAACTAAATTGGAACTTAAATTCAATGGTGCGAACCCAAATTTGAAACCACGGCTATTCCATCTGTGTTGGGCCAGTGTGGCGGATTATGGCCTAAACCCGCGCCTAAAAGGAAAGACCCGTACCCAGAAGTAGAACGTATAAATGGGCTGATGATGATGATAATCTGCACAATAAAAATCGCAGCGAAAAAGCCACACCGCGTACTTATTTGCATCACAAGGAAATTTTAAAGTAAAGGTCAATATACACACAGGTGCAATTAAAAAAGCATTTACAAATTTCAACTACTCAGTCAACGAGGTCGTAGAAACTATACTAAATTTGTTTCATAGCTATAGTTACCACAATTCTGCAGTGGGTCGAGAATGTTCGCTAATGCTCGTGTTGATGGTTTTGAAGCTAGTATGCAAAAAAGATTGGCTTCCATGATACGCACAAATTAATAGCGGCGATAACAGCCTCCTAAGTGTTATTGCGTTTACAATTTAGGGTTCTTTCTATTCAAGAGCACTGAACCTAAATGCATATTGATGTGAAAAAAAAGGATATTAGTTTGTAATACTAATCCTATTTTAAGTGTACTGGGGCCATACCATGAACTCTTATTACAGTTCAGTGTAGGTTCGTAACGACAAAAAAGCGGGATGGTGATATACACTTCACGTAGCGCTGTCTCACAACGATTCATTTTAGGTTCTAAACTGAATCGTAATAAGAGTTCATGGTAAGGACCCTGACTGACCCTTATGGATGAATGTCCCAAATATTTTTTTATTACATATGATGATAGTACTGCCGATGGCAACCGTCTTACAAAAAATATGTAATTCTAAATTCGCGTTAAACTTTTCGTCTCCATACAAAATGTGCGCGGTTTAATTTTGTTTTACTGACATTTTTACACGCGTCATTAAAATTTGTTTTACCTTCTTCGGCACTACATCTTACGGTTAAAACGAGCTCCACGTCATAAGCCACAAAAATTTTTTTGGCTAAGCCGGACTTAAAATCCAGTGGAGTAATTGCAATAATACAACTAGCTGTATAAAAGATCTTCACACTGTTACACATAACCAGCAGTGCTTAATTTTTGCAATCATTTTACACACAACGAGACTTTTTTTTATCTAAAACGCGTATATTTGCTTTCTTTTTTTGTTTTTTCAAACAAAGACATACCTATATACGCGATTTATTTTAAAATTTTGCGATGGCATTTTGCTCTCAAAAATTTTGAGCTCTAAAGTTTTAAAAAACGTCGACTCATAGTATAATAAGATTTCCCACGTAGTCACGTCAGTCAAATTAAGCAAACCTAAATGATTTTGTATTTTCCATTGTTTCTTTATAGAAGTGGAAAGTCACTGCGTTGTTATTACTTATTACCTAAGCAGGAGCGAAGATAGATCATTGGAAAAGGCCCACACCGTTTTAAAAAACTAATCTACAAAGATTTAAGTCACTGAAAGTGTAAAGTGTAGTGTTAGTAACAAATTCATAATATTTTTAATTTTCACATACAATACCTAATAACACTTTTATGACGAACCAGCACTTTCAGGCACGATATAGTGAAACTGCTGGTTCGAATTCAGCTGTATCGAAGGAATTTTTTTAGTGTTCAATTTTTGTATTAATAATGAT